TAGGTTACTCACCCGAACAAATGTCCATCAAACGTGAAGATCTAATTGTTCACGTGCTAGTTGATATTTGAACCATGTGACTTGCTATTCACGTACGATTTGTAGAGGTAAAAGTCATACCAATTTAGCTACGGTAAGGGAGGGAGCATTTTTGTGGCGGGTGGCAGTAGAGCAGGCAGTGCCGGAGTGGGTATCGCAGGCGGTGGTGCACTTAATGTTGGCATCGTTATTAGCCTGGGTGGTGGCACTCCGGGTGGCGGTATCCCATACCCTGGCGGCGCGGTATATGACATTCCATATTGAGGAGGTACTGGTCCTTGAGAGATAATGGATATTAAACACAGAAATCGACATAATATGCAAAGCTCAATCAGCAAATAAGATTGGGTTGTTCCAAAGTTTTCGATCTTTGATCGGTGAAATACATGCATAACTACAGATGTAAATGGGTCTCGATCAATTCAAATTTTCAATCTCTTCTAGCAGATACATTTTCTTCCCGATCTATGCAGTATTTGCGATGAATCGCCATGGCTCTTTGAACGACTCAACGGTCACGCTAAACTTTCCATGTGATCAAAAGAATTTATCCTGATATAGTGTGTTACAATGGCAGCTACTATGTAGAGTAAACCTTGGCTACACTCTTCATTTCAGACAAGATGAGGCAAGTTTCTGAAGCCAAATTGTTTATTCCCGTCTTTTTGAGCACGTGCTATAGTACTACCGAAACTTAAAACCTTCTTCCAAAATAGATCAATTTTATTATTTTGCGCAAATTTATTTATTTATTTATTTATTATGCATAGGGAAGTCCCTAAATGACGTAGTAATAGTCACGCTTGAATACGCAGGAACTTAAAAGCCTTCATGATTTCGCTGCATTCGTACTTCACGATTTTACTGAAAACCAATGCAGAAAAAAGTTTTTTTGCCAAACAACAGATCAGAAGAATACAAAAGAATACCGTATAGTTTGAGATCTGCTCTACTTGCACGATAACGCACTTCAAAACTCTAAAATGATTGTTTGAATAAAATGACAGGTGGAGAATTTTGGCAATTATCAACAGGTGATGAGAAGCCATGAGAAGTAGGAG